CCCTCACTCTTGCCTTACCCTGGGCGAGAGAAGTCATTTGATGATTTTCCCTTCATAAAAAGCGGTTCACGAGAGTTGTTTAAATTACATTTATATTCAAACTAGCTTCCGCCCGCGGCTTCGCCCGCGTCAAATTAGTTTTTGTCAATCCTGGTCCCTTATGTCTAAGAGACTCTTACAGGGGCCAGCCCAGGAGTACCATTTTCAAATTCCACACTTTTTGTGGAATTTGAAAACGGTACCCCTCTTGCTCATTGCTAAACATAAGCGGGTATTGTAGTGCGTCATAAAACTTGTGTGTGTCGGACACCCTGATCAATGAGTTATCATGGGTTTGAAAAACAATATCGCGCGATGCGAACTGTTCACCACACACCATGGCGGCGACTTCGTTTAATAAGGGTGCATTATAACGTCTTTCATGTTCCCCGCTTGGCGTACGATCTGCGAGTATTACTAATTTGTGATTTTCTAAGGCTGTTTTGAAGGTGTTAATGAGGTTATTCGTGCAACATTCTTTGAATTTTTAAAACAATGTCCCTCTCATCTCCTTCAATATTTTGACATCAACGGTCAACCTCGCTGTTTTCGTCTCCCATAAAATAAATCTGTAGAAATTTTGGTTGATCATTGTTTGGAGAAAGCAAAGAACCAATCCTATGATAAACTTGCCCTTGTACCGTAAATGTGGGTGAAAATCCAGGCATGATAACAGGAAAAATCGCCGAGACTCATTGCTGTCCTTTCTTCTGTCGTTGCTTCTCGGGGTCACCAAGCGTTGGTACGAATACTTTACCTTCAGAACAGCACATACCTAGGGTCTCTTCCTTCCACTTGAGTGCCTCACAGTGTCTGCATTTATTGGCCATTCTACCTATGAGGACTAATCGATGATTAAAGTAATCAAGTAACAGATATTATAAGCAGCATAATTAAAAGCAGCATCGGCAAATGCCTCCCACGTATTCATCGTAAGCGTACGTCTCCTTTCTGCTTGCCGCTCGGCATTAATTAAACGTCGTCTACGTGTTTCTTCTGCGGCTATGTACGAAGCATGACGCTCAGCATCTAAGATTTGGCGAGCTTGGGTGTGTTGAGAAGTCTCAGCAGCTCTTTGATCCGCGTGACGCTCGGCATCACTGATTTGGCGAGCTTGGGACTGTTGAGAGGTCTCAGCAGCTCTTTGAGCCGCGTGACGCTCGGCATCAATGGCTTGGCGAGCTTGGGTTTGTCGAGAAGTCTCATTCCAGTGATCTGGCAAGTTTAGCAGCCCGAGCTCTGCTAGAGCTTTTAGCTAAATTGGACTTTCGTTTGCGACGCATCGTAGAACAACATAAATGAAATGAATCGAACAAAACAGATGTACAGATTAAGATTTATTATATTAAAAAACCTTTGTTCACCCTACGTGCACCTACTTGGAATAACTACTTATTTACAACCAATGCAAAAAAGTAGGATGGTATTAGATTAATTGAATAAAAATAGGAAATAAAAGCAAATCGTATTTATATACATATAAGTTACGGAAATTATAAATTTAAATATAAGTAACAGAAACTATCTTACCTACTTGTAACGTTGTAACTATGAACTAAAAGAAATATAAGTATGTGCAAAATTTATTTACAGGATCTAATTAATAAAATACACTTAAAAAGTTAGACGAAACAATAAAATAATTTTACTGGATCGAAAAATGTAATTCTCAAAAGCGCAAATTTCTTTTATCACACCCGACAACGACCTCTGTCCTCACGTGTCTGTCCGTTCGGGTAGACATAGTTAGATTCGTGCGCTTCCCCACCACACGACAGCGCCGCGCCGCACTTCGGCGCGACGCCGACGGCAGCGACGGCGATGCAGTGTTCATTAAAAGGAATTTATACTTCGAAAGTGAACTATTTTGTAACTTGATACACACAAAACCCTTCTAAATTACATGTTCCTAGGTTCAATAGTTAAGATTTCGTATACCTACAATAAAGGTTGGCTTTGTAGATCCCGTTCCGAATCCGTTCCGGGTCTTATCTTCAATTCATCCCCTATTTCACTATATATCACACTGATAAAATTTTCAAAATGCTAGTACAAACGATTTTTTGTTTCTTATGACGTGATATTTGACGAAATTGCATACTAACTTTCAACCCTTATATCACCCCCTAGCTGGTCAAAATTTTAAAAATGCTTGAACAAATATTTCATATTTTCTTATCAAGTGCTTAAATATTAAGTTTTATGGTCTTATCTTTAAAAATTAAGAAATCCCATACAAACTTTTAACCCCTTTTTCAACCCCTTTATCCCTGTTTTTCGAAAACCTAGCCTATGTTCTGTCTCAGGGTCTAAAGATTGTCTGTACCAAATTTCATTAAAATCGTAATTAAAAGCGTAACAGACAGACAGACAGACAGACAGACAGAGTTACTTTCGCATTTATAATATTAGTTAGGATTAAATAATTTAAAAAAAATCGTACCTTTACCTAGAGGTAAAGGTACGCCTGCTTAAGCAAGCTAACACTTGATATCAGAAGCTTACATTGATATCCATGTAAGCAATACGTTCCTACCTAAGTGTAAATAGATAGTTACGTATTGTATAGAAAATAGAAACCTTTGATTTTAAATCCAACTCTGTTTATAAATCACTTTTATTTATATTTTGTTCGCGCCCACATTTCCAAGGAAACTATTATTTATTTGTTACAAATGGATAATGAAGGCGAGAACGAACTAAGCACTTTGACAAATTAGATCGATTGCGACCTCTATTATATTCAAAGTATTAGATATTTGGTTCATAGTTAAGTGTTTGCTTTTCGTAGATAAGTAGGTACTTGGAATAAGTAGAAATTTGAAGAATACTTATAATAGACAAAGATCCTATGACTTACTTTCCTTTAGGAATAATTCATTTATAAGGAAGGCCCCTTATGCTTTGTAGAATAATAATATGTCTTTCTTCAAGATTAAAAATTATCAAGTGACTTTTCCCAACCTGGATGGAGCTATAGGGAGTGTCAGACTCTTACCTACTGACTAAAAACCATAACAATCCTCCTACGGAATATAAAATGCGTGAAACTTGACTTTTTAAAATAAACGGACAAAACAAAGGGGCTTTCTCCACCATTATGAAAGATGTTCGTATACATAGCATCCGTGACGAAACCGTTAATGACCAGTTACCTATTTAGATTTCTTACAAATATATTGTATTTTCAGTTCTCGATCTTACGAAATGAATAATAAAGATTGATTAGATGAAACTGTGAGTTACTAAAAATCCCTAATGTACACATCGGCCCACGCGCCGTGTCTCATATGTTTACAGAATTGTGCACGGCTGTGGATTGTGGAATGATATGTTTCAACGTGAAATAATGCTCCCGCCCGAACTTTAGCCCACTTGGTGTTTTATTGTGTGTACGCGATTCGGAGTTTTATCTCGTACAGCTGGTTGCCGGATAATCCGCGTATAAATAGCGTATAGACAACAAAGCATCAACAAACTCAACTCGTATCGGGTACCGCTGCTGGCTGTCGAATATTTAGCGGCCCGACGCGGCTATTTTATGGCCGTCCTAAATTATTAAAATTGTTCTATTTCCAAACTCGTTCTGTCTATGCTATATTTATGATAATATAAACGTAGATATAAAGTTATCAAAAAGTAATGATCTTTTAAAGTCTAAAAAATAAATCGATGTTTTTGAAATTTCGTGTAAGTACCTATTTGAATACAAACAAACAAAACAAAAAGTATCTATTTATTCGCGTCAGATATGTTTAATTATAGATACCAATATGTTTAATTATAAGTAGAAAAGCCTAACCTACATTGCAATCAACTGAATTTGAAAACTTACCTATCTAGGTAGGTACCTACCTAACATAGTAGGTTTTGGATTCCTCATTGGTAGGTAAGTATTTTTTTTTTGCCAGAGGTGTGTTTAAAAGTAAAACAACTATTATATTGTAGTTACCTAAGTATACATTTTAACCCGTTGATCACTAGCAAGTGCGCAGTTTTCCAATTACTGAGGCCCAAATAGAGAAGTATTTTTATTATAAATGATTCTATTTAGAAATGTTTGTAAAAAAATAAATAAGGACATTCAAAAGGTAAAGTATACCTATCCAGAAAGAAAACTAAAAATTTTGTTGACATCGAGACCACCCAGCTATCCCAAGTGGCTTGATGCCAACCTCTGCGTTGAGTAACACGTTTAAAATTGAATGAAAGAAAGTTAACCCTTTAGCTCGCAACGATATTGACCATTTCTTATTATCTAATTGATATTTCCATATTATGTACTTATACTATATACATATACGTATATCCTGCTACTCGAAAGTTGGCTGGCTGTGAAATACAAATGGTAAAATATCTAGCGACGTCTTAGCAGAGGTCTATAATTATGTATTTAATGCATAGGATACGTACAACGTAATGATATCAACGGAAACGGGTTGATGGCGTAAATAAATCAAAATATGATTATAATAATAAATGTGAAATACCCTAACACACTATTTAGTCCAATACCAATAGAAAGAATGACTAGGATCCATAATAATATTACTTTTTTAATGGTAAAAATTTTCAAATGCCCTTTGACTAAAAATCACTCCGTTCCATTCTCCTGATCCAGGCAGTGCCTAACACACGATTGCACTGTGTTGACACCCGCAGCCTCGATAATAATTTTACTCGAAGTATTTGAGAGAGTGCACTAAAAAATCTCAAAATGCAATGCAGGCGGATAGAATATAACATTTTGCGAGTGAAAAATACAATTTCTTACTTTTTATTAAGTAATATTAGTTGACGTTTTCCCTGTGAGTGTGAAACTTTCAACCTATAATTTTCTACGCGAACGCATCCAAGTAATATTTTCTTGCTACCAACATTGATTTAGATTGTCAAATTGACAGTGACAAAATATGGTATGAATGGGTAGGTATGGTCGCTGTCACTGGCTGTCAGTTTGACAACGATTCTGGGTGCAACTTTATCAATTTGTTTATTTTTTAAGTTTATCATAGAACTTACGACTACGGCTATAACCGGCTTTACATAAATAAAATTAATTAAAAAAACAATGAGTTTTGTGTAAAGTTTCAAAGTAATTCACAAATCTGTCTTCCTAAAATGGAATGTTACGTGGTTATATCTTTTATTGGTGAAGGATCCTTTGGTCGTGTGTTCAAAGCAAAACATAAAGAAACCGACGCTGTTGTAGCTTTAAAAGTTATAAGGAAGGTATGTAGGAACAGTTTTATGGGTTTAAATTCCAAATAATGTGTGAATAGAAGTTTAAATCTACTTTTTGTGTTTATGGTCATGTGTTAGAAACTTCTTTAATGGTTTATCAAAAGTATAATGTTGTATAACTTTTGTATACATGTTTGACTACTATAATAAAGTTACAAGATCCTCCTACTCTCATTACAGAAAGGTAGATCAGTAAAAGATTTGAAGAATCTGAGACAAGAATGTGATATACAAAGGCAGCTGAAACATCCAAATATAATTCGTATGATAGACAGCTTTGACACAGATTCAGAATTGGTTGTAGTCACCGAGTATGCAGAAAAGGAATTGCACAGCATCCTGGCAAAAGAAGGCTGTTTAAATGAAGACAAAGTAAAGAAAATTACTTGGGATTTGGTCTCCGCTTTATATTATCTGCATTCACATAGAGTACTTCACAGGTTTGTCTACTGATTATATTTTTTCTTAGCTAAAATATTGATTGTATACAAGATAATAAAATTCTTAACAGTTGGTATTAATACAATCTTATAAAACATAGGTACCAAAAAATACATTTTTAGGTGTTGAAAAGGTACACAAGTTTTATGATTCTATTTAAGAAAACAAAGGTTTTCTACACAATTAAATCTTTTGTCTGTAAAGATTCTCTCTAGATTGAATATTCTCATTCTATGATTGAATAGATGTATTGAAGTTGAATGAAATAATCTGCACCTAAATAAGGTTCAACACGGTAGTTTCCAACTAGTCAAATTCAATATTTTTATTCAAATGTCAAAAACAATGCTTTTCTATTAAATTTGCATGTATGTGTGATATATCATGTGTCATAGTATCTTTGCGTCAAATATCGTACTTATTTCTTAAAAATTCGCTAAAAAATATCTAAAATTTAGTGTATTGATTGATCTATGAATAAAAAATATAGTTACTTTTCAATATTTTATTGTATTGAAATATCAAATTAATTTATTTTGACCTAGGAAACTACAATTGGTGAGCTAGAGACAGAGAGAGTTACACGACAATTTATCTTGTTTCAGGGATTTAAAACCACAGAATGTGCTACTGGACAGTTCAGGACGAGCCAAGCTCTGTGACTTTGGTCTAGCCAGGATCATGACAAATGCGACACATATTCTGACCTCCATCAAAGGTACTCCTTTGTATATGGCACCTGAACTAATTGAAGAGAAGCCTTATGATCATCAGGTAATTTAATTGTCAAAGTACCTATTTTGAGTTCACAATTTACACTATACACAGTCATCAGTGTGTCCTCAACACATTAGTATTTTACACAAATTATTTATTTTGAATGTTTTTATTTGAGCTTTAGACAATATGCAACAAAATATAATAACTCTAAAACATTCTTTTAACATATAAAAAAATTCCAATGATAAGTCATTGGAATTTTTTTATTTGCTCAAAGGCAAACAAACATCCAAATCATCTTATGGTAAAAACTTTGCAACTTCTAATGAGTGACATGACCATCACTATTTTATCATAAAATTCAAGTTCATTTAATGTCCATTACTTTTCAAGAATATCATCATAACATATTATCTATGCTAACATTATAAAGAGGTAAACTTTGTATGTTTGTAAGTTTGCATGTAGGGGGTAATCTTTGGAACCACTGGTCGGATTGCCAAAATTCTTTCTCTGATAGATAGCTACAATGTTTCTAAGTGCCATAGGCTATAAAACATCACGCTACTATAAAATGGAGCCGAGCAGCGGGTGTTACCGCGCGAGAGTAGCTAGTACATTTTTCCTTTAGTACTCATTAAATAAAAAATTTGTTTTCTTTCAGGCAGACTTGTGGTCCTTAGGATGCATAGTATATGAGTTGATAGCGGGCCAGCCACCCTTCTGTACCATGTCTATATGGCAGCTGGTGCGAATGATCAGACACAAGCCTGTCCAATGGCCTAGTTTCATCAGCTCAGATGCCAGATCATTTTTACAGGTAAAAAATCTATAAAGTTGAGTAACAATAATATTCATATGTAAGAGATCAAATTAACTGCACTCTCTGTAAATTCTAAGTTTTAAATAAGTGAGCACAGGTCACCTAACACCAATTTTACTCTTATTCCAGGGTTTATTGCACAAAGATCCAATGAAAAGGATGACTTGGCCAGAAATTTTGGAACATCCATTTGTTTTTGGACATGTCACCATTCTTCCCGAAGATGTACAAAGTGAATCTCCTTTTACGAAACCTTTGTCGTACAGTCAACAAGAAGCTAAACAGCTTCAAAGGGAAAAAGTTTGTAGTAATACTAGGTAAGTTTGTTACATTTTGGTTATAATAAACTTTGAGCTGAAGATTCCTATACATCTAACAATGATATTTCTTTAGGACAATACCTGAACCAAAACAGACCCCAAAAGAACACGATTTACGTAATGTAAGAGTAATGCAGGCAATGGAATGTGTTCCAATGTCGGATGACGATAGCGTCAGAGCGACTAGCGCATTCAGTGTGCGAGATAGTCTAAAGACAGACGATGAGGACCAATCCCACCCCATAACAGCAGATAATGCGAAACTACTTCGACATGAGTACAATGTCCTGAACAACTCCAATCTTGTTGTTTGCAACCTAGAAAACAATATGGCGCAACTCATGGCAGCTAACAAAAAACAATCAGATCTTAACAAAATGGATAAGATAGACGAAGAAAAAATAAATACAGAGAAACATGCGGAAGACAAGAAGCCTATTAGTGCTAGTGATAGTAAACGGGAATTACTAGATGCGAAGCAAAAAGTCAAATCTATAGACACAGCATCGCAGAGTTTGGAACACCCCAAAAGTTCGACAAAATGCAGCAGTGAAGTTAGCTCTGGGCTCAGCAAAAGCGTCCCGCCATCATACAAACAGAAAATATTGCAATTTTCCCGTGACAAGCTCAGATTTGGTAGTGGAGGAAACAAACTAACACGAAGTATTAAAAGATCCTTCCACTTTAGTAGAAGTTGGGATAAAAATAAAACTGATACGCAAAGACGTACCAGTGAGCCGACTATAGAGGTTTCAAGTCTAATCGATGATAAGGAAAAGTGTTCCAAAGAAGAGAAAGATCATGATATTGAAAAATCTGAAATTATTGAAGAGATTTCTGACGAAAAAGAAATTGCTGATAATGATAGAATTCTTAAAACTGACGACAAGAGTGATGGTAATACTTTTTAATGCAAATAATTAGTTTTTATTTTTTTAAAGCATTTGATTACACTTCATTTTACATTATTTTTCAGTCAAGGAGCCATCTTCGATTGAATTGGAAGAGTGGGAAGCATTCCTCAACTCCAACATCAGTGAAGTAATGGATGGAGACGTGGAATCTCTCACGCAACTTAACATGGTAAGTACAAAAAATTTGTTATACCTTGATTTGAAATACTACCTTTGATTTTTTTAAGTTGATAAACTGTACCAGATTGTTGGCGAGTCTTGCCGTGGCACGAATGGGCCGGCTTGTCTGGAGTTTTATGGGTTGACCTGGTGTTTCGTTGTGTGAATGAAGTTACCGGAGGTCCAATCCTTTCCCCTTCGTCCAATTTCTAAACAACTAAAAGGCTGGTAACGCGCTTTCAATTCCTCTTGTGTTCATCATCATCAGCCTATAAGTGCCCACTGCTGAGCAAAGGCCTCTTCTCACACGGAGAAGGTTAGAGCATTAATCACCACGCTTGCTCAATGCGGGTTGGTGATTTCAAACTTATAATTAGAAATTATAAGTCCAGGTTTCCTCACGATGTTTACCTTCACCGTATGTCAGTGGTGTCTAAATAATCATAGAAAGTACATATAACTCGGAAAAAGTCACATTGGTACTTGCCAGGTTTCGAACCCGCACCCTCATGCATGAGAAGCGGGCGCCTTAACCTCCGGGCCACCACGACACCTCTTGTGTTACGAATGTCCAATTACTTACCATTAGGTATTCGGTCTGCTCGTTTGCCAGCCTTTTCCATAAAAAAACTTCAGCCTAACTACATATCGCGGGTCTGCGGACGGCGAGTAAAGGTGGCTCGCCGCCCGACTAGAACCAGACCCGAATGTACGGCGCGTAAGTCAATGGACCACCACAGACACAGACCCTGTAGGGCTGATGTTCAGCCGGGGTTGCAGGTTAAGCGCAATGAGTCACCGCGGCCTCGGCCCAGAGCAGGAGAAGGAACGGGGGGTTTTTAGTCAGTAAGAGTCTGACATTCTCTCTCGCCTAACCCTGGGCGGGAGAAGTCATTTGATGATTTTCCCCTGTCAAAAAAAAGCATAACTACATGTCAGATTTGGGAGAGATATGAGGTCTGGCCTTAGTTTTTACCTGCGGCATTATATTACATATTTCAAGTTTTTTCAATCATTCTAAGTATTCCATGCCCATTTACTTATCCATATTTTGTGTAACCTTACATACCTAAACCTAAAGATTTGTTGTTTCAAACATTAATTAAATTCTTTACTCTTCGCTCTGCTTTACAGGTAAGCATGGTGATAGGCGTAGTAGGTAGTGCAGCTAGAGCGAGTGGTGGGGGGCGAGTTTGTGGCGCAGTGGCAGCTTTACTAGCCCTACCTGCGCTGGCGCATACATTGCCCAGACATACCCTGCTCAATATACAAGATGTGAGTTCCATATTATAGATGGATTGTGTATAACATAATACTCTTTTATTACATGAATTTAATAAGCCTCATATTCTTAATTTGCAGGTGTACCTTGAAGCTAAAGTTGTTTATAACTTTGTAGCTGCAATCAATACTCTCATGAAAGACAGCAAATACAACGATGATGGGGCTCAAGATAGGTATGGATTACTCTTAAACATCAGCATCAGCCTGTTTTCGGGGCCAAACCTTCACACGTTTGACACGGGGGGCCTCCTAGTTTGAAATATAATTGTTTATCTAACAGATTACAGGGCGTGGGTCGTATGCTGGAGGTATGCGCGTGGCTGTGCGTGCGCTCGTGTCGCGGCGTGAGACAGTTTGCCACTGCACTCACCGCTTACAACGCGCATCCCGTCTTTACTAGGCTTCTAATGCACTGTAAGAACTTTTCACCATTATAATTAATTATTAATTAGCCTTTCGTGGTAAAATCGCAATGGTGGCACGATTATGATAGTAAGATCAGCAACGTGCCTGTGAATACTCTGGTGCTGCAGGTATCCATAGGCGGCGCCGATCACTTACCATCAGGTGATCCATCTGCTCGTTGCCATCCTATTATATTATAGTTGAATTAACATTTTAACTGCTCCATTTTGTCTCTTCTGATCGCTTGCCTTTGATTGACACAGGTCTGTGATCCGTTGGCTAAAGCATTTTCAACTGTATGTCGTTCCTAAAAACGTATATATTTTAATTTTTACACAAAACTTCGTTTTGTCAAATTGCATAATATGTTTTTTGTGAGGGGTGCGAGTACGAGAGAGTTTATTTTCAAAAAGATGACGCCTTGTTTGTCCAGACGAAATAAGGTCATGTTACAAACAAATTACGTTTCATATTCGCGCAGACGGATGATACCAATATTTTGGACGTTTGAAAATTATGACCAGACAGTTTGACATGTTGAAATTATTTAAACCGAGATATGCCAGCCAGTATCGAATGTCTGATTAATTTTTCACTTCCTGTTTTTGTAAAATTGTTATAAAAACGACGAGTGCGACTGCAAAAAAAATCGTTTTTGAATTGGGCCAACAAACTGTAGTCATAGTAATCATAAACTTCGCATTGTTCGATATTAAAGAAATAGGAAAAAGTAAAGACTTTCACAGTATTAAACGTTTTTTTAATCTTGATAAGGTTGTGGATGAAAACTCCCGAAATCAAAATTATATTTTTAATTGACTTAAAAAGTTAGACGCGTTAATTTTGACTTATATTTTCACAGATTCAAAATCACCGCGCATTGTTCTGAACATTGTGGGTCTTCTTATAACGGTGCTACAAGATCTTCCCGAGCACGCGGACGTCGTTGAAAAGATACTTTTTGATGAAGAAAAATTCAACTTCATACGTTTAGTGGAACAACCGAGCGATGCTTTGAGAATGAGAGTTTGTATACTAATTAGTTTGCTCTGTACATTCTCGTGTACCGCGTTTTCCGTTGCCATGGAAACGAAGTGGAGTAAGAAAGAGACTGAATCCATAGAGGCGTTACACACTCACTGTAATGTGGCTCTGAATAGAGCGGCGCGATTGGCCACAAAAGAGCTTAGCAATATGCCTTTTTATGTTAGCTAGTTATGATGGGATCAATAGAAATTTACAGATTAAGATTGAACAAATATTAAGATTTTTTTATAAACAAATAATAAATGTTGTCAAGCTTTATATATAACTTCTTAACAGATTATATAGCTATTGTAACGCAGCTAAAGGAAATTCTAAATAAAAAAATCGACCGGGAATTCACAAAGAATCTCAGTAGGTAATTTGGTAAGTAAAATAAGTATGTAATATATTTCATAATGATCTTTTTTATAATTCGTAATACTCGTCATATAATTAGTTGACACAATCTAGATTAACCTAGCACTTATAACGTTGGCCTAGGTTATTATATAAAAACAGCTTTAGCGTTTTAGCTTTTTTAAAGGCATTAAATATGTACTTGTGACAATTTAAAATATTTTATTAAAAATTCTAAACATTTTCTATTAGCACATTATGAATATTATGATGCAGTAATCTTAAGTAGATAATAATTATTATTGTCTCAGTAATTACATGGTAAAAGTGTGCATGAAATAAATTTCTATAGACTGAATTAAAGGAAATTTTATATGAATGGATACTGAGTATTCGCCCTTCTAAAGGCCAAAATGGTTATATGGACGAGGTCCTCAACCAAATCTACTAATTGTACAAGTGGATAAAGATGTCTCACTGCCTGATAGGAATATACAAAAAGACACATTTTATCAAAATTAGCCCAGTTTTTCATGGGTTTCGTGCCATATGTAGGTAAATATTAACAAAATTTGTCGTAAATTACTTAAATAAAAAACGACTCAATCCCCTTAGATAAATGCTATTTAATTGCTAGTTGTATGTTAAAAAATAGAGATGGCAACTAGAATATTTTTAAGTGCTTATTTCTCATAAAAATACTGTCGATTTAAAAGATTGCTCTGACGTCACACCTATTTATAGATACTTAAGCAGCAAGCTCCGTCATTCCTAACGTTTAATTTGTTTTTGAATTGTATGTTTGTAAAAGCAACGACGACACATAAAAATACCAGCGTTGGGCAAAGTTTAAAACAAAAAATTATGTACCTAATGATGGTCTTTTTCTTAACCTGTCTACATCCCTAATCAATTTATAGAATCGACACTGACATTCGACCTATGATTAACGCCGTTTGTCTATGGGGTCTGATTAGTTTACTTTCGTATATTGTTCTCTTTACGATATTATACATTGAGTAGGTAAATAGATGATGTTATGTTTGAATGTAGTATGATTTAAGTACTTGTATTTTATATATTTTTTAATTGTGTAATCTCATGTAATTCTTATATTTGTAGTAGGTACTTATTATGTAAAATCTCCAGATATTTTAATAATAATACCTAACGTACCTTTTTATCCTTGACGGTTAATATCTCAAATAAATTCTAAATTTCAAAAGCAATAAACTATACAACGATGTAAACACAATAAATTAAATTAAAATTAATTAAATTATTTAGTGTTTTATTATTTTACTAAACCATATATGTAGGCTTCTACCTAAGTTTTATGATTATTTAGACACCACTGACATATGGTAAAGGAAAGCCTTGTAAGGAAACTAATTATAAGTTTGAAATCTTCAATCCGCCTTCAGCAAGCGTGGTGATTGATGCTTAAACCTTCTCCATGAGAAAAGAGGCCTTTGGCTCAGCAGTGGGCATTTGTAGGCTGATTATATGATACCATATATCCATAGGTATATTAGGTAATTGCGCAGATTAAAAAAAAAACATTTTTGTAAAATAATCGAATCACGCGATGCGTCATGGAATATCCGTCATGTCAAAAGGATTATGATACAAAACACATGTGTATTCGGCCAGCCTTGAACTGAACACAATCGTTCAAATCTACATGTACCCCAAACATTCGGACGGTTCCAAGGTCAGATAAATGATTTATTTTACCAGTTATCAAGGATCACGTAAGCTGATACAACTATAGTATCTTTTATCAACGATATCCATAATACTTATTAGTTTTTATTTAGGTTGAACTTTACTGCTTCTTCCCGTGGTTCCACTTGTTTGGTATTGAATATTAAAATTAAGCCACTAAAATATATTTAAGATATTTTGAAGATTCTGCAAAGCAAAACAAAAAGTAGAATAAAAGTTCTAAACTTGGATTGTACGTCTGAAATCCGTCCGTTTTTTACGTCTAAGTAAGGAGGTACCTACACGTGCCTTCTCCGTGCGAAAAGAAACATTTCCCTTGCAGTTGGTACCTAGGTACTTCAACATCTAAGAGAGATTATTGAACTTTTTTTACCTATTTTTTTAAAGTGTTTTTTGTTTAGAAAATGACAACCCGTTTGTTGAATATGTTAATAAAACAATTAATTTTATATTTTACTAACAAATAAAACAATACAAATAGGAATATTTAGAAATTCTTGCGCCCCACCTTATACCTGCAATGATAGGTACCTACCTAATATTAAACTAAGCTCAAGCTTTATGTTTTAACTTTTTTTTAATATCCTTTCTTTATGATCCTTTTTTAAGGGAGGAAAATCAACAATTGGTTTCTCTAGCCCTGGTTGGGGCAACATCCCATTCGTGTGGTCTTATCGACTTAATGTGCCCAACCATCCTTTCTCCTGATCAGAGCCTGGCACTGGTAATTAATTACGATTCCACCCGCAACCTCGGACGTGTTGCGGGGTAAGCGCAAAGAGACGGCGCGGTTTCGGCCTAGAGAAGGAACGGGAGGGTTTTTAGTCAGTAAGATTATTTTTCCCTGACGAAAAAAAACCCCGAGCCGTGGAGGACTCCTAAAGAAATTTATTCGGATCGATTTGCTTTTAGTGCCTACATTGTTGAATTGGGTTATTGCAAATTTAAATATTTATATTAATTGCGTCAAAGCAAAAACAAAATCACGAATACATCATGATGTTTATAAAACTGAACTGATAATTTCCGTATTCAAATGAAAAACACCAAAAAAATGTGCATGCATGCGATATGTAGTTACCTTGAACCATATTTAATCGTTCATCTGAACAATTAAAATCAGGAGGACATTGGAAGGTTAGATAATTATAATCTGAGTGCATTTTTTTCATATCCTCACTATTTTTGTTATTTAATATTATAATCACAATGATCAATAGGTACTGCTGGACTTGGGTCTGAACGTCATTGCAAGGTAGGTACTTGCACCCGAATCTAATATGTACGCCTGGCAGGCGGGTTAGGTGGCTGGGACTGCATACCTATCTGTAGTTGTCTTTTTTTTGTGAAAATCATCAATCTCCCGCCGAGGGTCGAGATAGTGTTAGACTCTTACTGACTAAAACCCCCCCTCGTGCTCTAGGCCGAGGCCGCGGTGACTCATTGCGCTTATCCCGCAACCCCGGCTGAACATCAGCCCTAATCAAGTAGACTTACGTCTCTTTAAGATAGCAAGGGTTAGTTTCTAGTTTCTCCCAGTCCAAGATTCGCGAAATGTATACTTAGTCCCTTTTTATGAGGGGGGAAGGGGAATCATCAAATGACATCTATCGTCCTGGTTAGATAAGGCGAGTGGGAGTGTCAAACTCTTACTAATTAAAAACGACCACGTTCTTTCTTTAGCTTCAGGCCGGGGCCTTTTGCACACCCAATACCAGAAATGTGTCCTAAGTCGGCTTTTATGAAACCTGTGGGAAAAGAGTAATAAATGTATTGCTCTGCCGTCACCACACACCAAAAAACAGAGAAATTAACAAACAAACTTCATAGGTACAGTTTACGAAAATGCAATCACTTTCAGCCTTGAACCTCGTTTTATCGTTCAGATCAAGAGGACACTCGGAGGTTAGATAAAGGTAATGCTATGCAGCCAAATGTTTACTAAGTATTTAATATCCTGTTCAATGGATTATATAATAAAACCATTAATAATACGTCGGTGCAGGATGGAAACTTTTTAGTGCAACTAATTGCAGGATGTTTGTTTGGATTTTTTTATTTTGGTTTAGTTTCCTAGTCCCTTCATGTCAGGATGAAAATATGGGCGATGGAACAAATTTTAAAAATACCTAATTTATTTCATTATTATACGTTATTTATGTGATTGGTATTTTATTAATTGATTGCCGCAGAACTTGCGCTGGCTGTTTTTTTACTTTTACCTAGACGGAAATGTAAAAATAAAACGATAGTTTGAGCTTTTGTTAGTTCTCGAAGAGTTTAAGGATCTTAATTGAAGAGAGATATATGTAGGTACTGTAGTTGTAGTCGGAGGTGTGACTTGACATGACGATTTATGTTTTCATAACCTGTACCTACGTAGGTAGTTTTTTTAGGTCTAACCGAAGCCTCCGTTTTGTTGCCACAAATAAAAAACATACACGTGCATGCATACAATTGTGAATTGAAAAATATCTCGATCTTTCCAGGTAGGTAGGTATTTTTTGCTACAAATTCTTAATATTCTTATCATCCTGTTTTTGGCAACCAATACTTATAGATTATGTATCATCGCGGTCGATGGCCGGAGGTCCATTTTGTCCTCTGTGAGGTATGAGGTCATTTGAAATGCAAAGTTCATGTTCAATGTATGTTTTGCACAATGATGTCATTCTTCAATTTCCGCATGCAAAAGCTAAATCTATTCTTAGAAGGATCAAAGCATTTAATTATGTAGGTACTAAATGACGCATTATTTTAATCCTACTAATATTATAAAGGCGAAAGTTTGTAAGTATGGATGTTTGTTACTCTTTCACGTAAAAACTACTGAATGGATTTGGTTGAAATTTGGCACAGGGGTAGATAATAGTCTGGAATAATACATAGGCTACTTTTTATCCCGGAAAAATATGCAGTTCCCGTGGGATACGAAAAATATTAGTCCACGCGGGCGGAGCCGCGGGCGAAAGCTAGTATTTTATATAAGTTTACAGTATCTCTATTCCAATTCAATATTCAAAAGTTTCGTTTATTTATGCTATAGGAAGACAAACGAGCTGGCGAATTATCTTATGGTAAGCAATTGACGCCGCCTATGAAAACTCGTTACACCAGAGGAGTTATGAGTGCAACGCCGGCTTTTTGGGGATTAGGAAGGGACGTTTATTTACATTTTGCATTAGGCAAAGATTTATATTGTGAGATTTTAAATATTGGGTGCCGAAACAAGAAATGGAGAGGGAACCATACTTCGGCAGCAGTGACACCACCCGATCATGGAGATAACGCGGTCTCGCAGAAGGCCAACTTAACCTCGGTCAGGTACCTACATACTTAGGTACATTTTTTATAGACTAGGAGGCAAATGAGCG